TAAGGTTAACACCCTACTTTGGAAGGTCATTAAGTCCACCTATTAGTGCATGGTTTTGTGGGTGGATCTAAAAACTCCTCAAGATTTATTGGTCCCCAGGTTGCCCTTACCATATAAATAAGGACCTAGCGCATGAATCAATCACAAGTAGGGAACATACCCTCTCAATATGATTAAACTATGCTACTAGTAACAACCTGAGCAGTGACTCAACAACGGTCAAGTGAGCATCAAGCCCCTCAATAACAGTCATCAAACCACCTTCTCTTCTTAGGTTCGCACAGGCTCGGGTATAGAGCCCAAAGTGTGTGAGGTACAAGTGTTAGTGAGTGTGTGGGGTAATAAACAGTCATGCAAATAAAATAAATGAAACTCTAATTTAAACTTAAATCTAAACAAAACATGCATAGCAAAAACAAAATAATAATAATAAAAAATAAATAAATAACAAAAAAAAAATAAAAAAATAAAAAATAAATATAAAAGGAAAGGGAAAGAAAAAATAATATATTTATAAAGTCATAATTTTGCGCAATTAATTTAATAAGGCCTGACTCTCAAACATCCCCAGTGGAGTCGCCATCTGTCGTAACCGGGATCACGACGGGATGACGCTAACATTTTTATTTTTCAATGGAGCCGCCACCAATATTTTATTTTAAGGGAAAAACATTGGAAAACCCTTTAAAGGATAATCTTTAAAATTAAAGTTGGGTTCGGGAGTCGATTACGTGTAAGGAAGGTATTAGCACCCTACAACGCCTGTAAAACAGTACCTTTAATTAATTGCGCAACATTATATAAATTTATAAATATTTAATTTATTCCTCAAAAAAAACGTATGTGAGATATATTTTCTTTAATCTGAGATGCCTCCTTTTTTTTTTTTATTAGAAAATTATAGGGATTTGGGTTAGCAAATGGCTAATCAATAAACCCTTCCAATAACATGAAAGATAGAATTGCTATTCAATCCATGTTATTGACTTTTATTTGTTGATACTAAAATATGTTTAAAGTGTAGGACAATGAATAAGTATTATATTAACTTTTATGATTTACATGATATTAAAGGGTAGAAGTTCTACTCAATTAATATCATTAACCATAAAAATAAATGTACATAAGAAAAATTATGTTTATATTTTTATTTAAAGAAATAGATTTTGCACAAGGATCCAAGTTAGCAAATGGCTAATCAATAAATCCCTCCAATAACGATAAAAATAGAAATGCTATTTAATTAACGTTATTGGTTGCAACAGATCTTTACTCTTTAGAAAGAAATTTCATACATGAGAGTTTAAGCTAGCAAATGACTAGTCATTAAACTCCAGGACCTAATAATGTTAAAGATAAAAATGTTATTCAATTAACATTATTATTGGTCGTATATTAAATATTTTTTTAAATAATAATCTTAAAGGCAACAAATCGTATTCACTATGTACAAACAATGAGCAAAAATAAATAAACAAACAAACAAAAATAAAATAATAATAAATAATAAATAAATAAATAAAGAGAAGAAACGATACCAAATGAGTTGAATCTTTGAATATGATGATCAAGAAGGTGCTTTTTGGCTACCTTTCACACTACATAGGTGTCTCACAAATTTTAAGAAATACAAAAGAGAGGGGGAAGAAAGAGAAAAAAATTTCGAGCTCTGAAGAGTACTGGACGAAATTTTTCCCGGGGCTGAAAACTGTGCCCAACGCGTCAATTTATAGATGTCAGACCTGACCAGAACGGCCCGTTCCGAAATCGGAACGTCCCATTCTGGATCATACCGTTACAAGCAAAATGTGACTCTAGAACGGCCCATTCTAACAACAGAACGGCCCGTTCTAAATGCGCAACGTCCCGTTCTGAAATTTGGAACGGCCCGTTCCAGACAAGAATTTTTGGTCCTTTTTGTCACTTAGAACGGCCCGTTCCCATATTGGAACGGCCGTTCTAAATTAGGGTTGTTGTGTTTTTTTCCTAACATGGAACGGCCCGTTCCGAATTTGGAACGACCCGTTCTAGGTTACAACACTTTTTTTTTTTTTTTTGTGTTTGCCAGTCCGGATAAAATTGAGTATTCATAGTTGTATGAATTTTATACCTTGGCATGGTAGCTCAAATCACGGTTAACCACGGGTATCTTGTCTTCCAGCGATAGCCTGATCGAGGTCACCTGATCGAGGTCACTGGCGAAGAAGGATATCACCAACACCAACCTCGAGATGATTAGTGATTACGAACCTTGCTCCTCGGGGATATCAGAATCCACGCTTCCTCAGCTAACTTGGGAAGCCAAAACCCTCTTTCCACTGCTATCAAAATTATTGGGCCTAAAATACTACTTCTAAGGCCGAATAGATCAGGCCCACATAACTTGGACATAAGAAAACAAAATGATCAAAAATTGTATAATTATGATGCTTGAATCACTAAAAATTACATAATTACACTACTTAAAATATTAAAATTGTTTAATTAAAATTTTAGTCAAAATTGTACAATTATCATACTAAAGAAACTAAAATTGTTCAATTAGAACATTTGAGACCAATTACACAATTATAATATTTGAGGAATAAAATGTACAATTAAATCAAATGAATTAAAATAATTTGGCCACAATACAATCACATGTATCCTTCTTCATTAAGTCGATCTTATTTAACTCGAATATGATCATCATGAGTGATAAAATTTCCCCTCCAATTATATTTAACATAATTGCATATCTAAAATTTAAGTTCCGAGACTTGTTATAACTAAAAAATAAGATTGTTCAAAAAGTTAAACTAAATTGAACAATATGAGTACTAAACTTAATTATAAAAATAATTTATATTAACTAAATTATACTAATAAATTATTCATGCAAACCAAGTAGAATTATTTTTTAGTTCAATTAACTACATTTTAAAAGTTTAAATCGCACTATTCGACACACTAAATTGAATTGCTTTTTAATTTACTGAAAATAAAACTTTTTCTTATATTTTAAAATAAATTGAATTTGTTTTAAACTAAATCAAATAATTCCTTTGAACCAAAATTTATTATAAAAAAAAACAGTTTTACAATTTCACATGAACAAATTTTCTTACTCTAAGACTTTATATCTTAAAAAAGTGATTAAAGAAATGATATATTAGTCGTAATAAAACTTAAATATTAGTCATTAATTTAAATAACACTAGTAGATATATTAATATACATATAATATATATGTTCTCTACATACGTGTGATTTAACTTTCATTATTTATTAATTAAACTAATAATATAATCTAATATTTTATCGGCTATAATTTATTGAGATTTACAAAATCAATAATAAATTATTAAATAGAATGTGTGATCGATCAAATTTTATACTTCTTTTCGATGAATAAGATAAAATGAGTTTAAAAAAAATCATAAAAAGTATATTACTAATATTACTCGTAAAATATTCAACTTGAATGTATTGAACTATTCATTATAATAAAAATCACTACATACAGGATTCAACATAACAATTGTGTTAAGACATTGTTATAAAAAATTATAATTCAAGTTTATCGAACTATTTTCTATAAAAATTTAGTTTTTTAAAATTTATAAAAAAAATTTATTATAAGAGATAAGAAGGTTAAAATATAATTTAAATGAAAAAAAATTTAAAATTTAATTAAGTGAAAAAAAATTAATTTAAAAATTATATTTTAATCCTCTTATTTCTCGTAATAAATTGTCTTTCATGTTTCCGGTGTATATATAATATCATCATCAATTTTACTATGTATATCATTAAATCTCGCATCATCTGAAAGAGATCTAAATCACTGGGTCCGAGGTTTTCGAGGAGATTCCATTTCAACCCGACATTGGTTGTCTTTTTCATTTCATTTGATTTTCTTTTTGGAAGAGACTTTAGTTGTTTTTTTTCCTCTTTTTTCTGAAAGGACGTTCGTTGTCTTTATTCAAACTAATTTGGATCATTTTATATTAATATAAATAGTATATTTAAATATATATTTACTTACCCCAAATATATATATACTTGTTTTTAATCTCCCAAGTTTAAAATTAATTTAAAAAAAAAACTCATTTTTATTTTTATTTTCAGATGTGATTATTAAATTTTTCAATTTTTATTGTATAAAATTTATCTATTAATATTTTTTTATAAATAAAATATATCATTAAATTTAATTAATATTTGATATTGCATATTTATTTTAATTTATCTCTATTAATTACGTTATTAGTGGTCTATTGAAGAAAGTTTTTTTTTTAAGTTATAGGACAAAAAAATTAATTTTAAAATTTGAGGAATAAAAATAAAATTATTTTAAATTTTAAAAATAAAAATATATTTAAGTCTTAATAATGTAAACAAGACTAGATAGATTCTTTGATTAACAATTATAATATTTCTATTGTGCACGTTAGTTTAATTCAAAATTTAAGAAAATAATTGTAATTTTCTTCATAAAATTAATTTTAAGCGACTTTAAACATAGAACATGAGAATAATAAACTAATTAATGTACTTTTTTTCATTAATGAAAAGTATCACAAATCCTTATTAGGAGTTTAATAGGCACGGAATAAAACCACATTTCTTTTTAATTTAAGTTTTATATATTCTCCAAAGTTGGAAGTTGAATTTGAACCATTTGATGAAACACAAGAGTTCTTTGTCTTTTCTATTTTATTTTTTATCTGCAAGAAGTACAACAATAGTAACAAATTTCAAACCTACTAATATATTTCCAACGTAGCGATAAAATTAGTCACTGTTATTGACAGTAGATACCCCAGAGACAAAAAAAAAATTATAATATATACTACCTCTAATTCCTTGCCACGTACACTAACTCGATCTACCAACTAATTAATAATTAATATATACTCCACCTTATAAATAAAAAATATTGTATAAACACACACTAACATTATTAAAATATGTTGCAACATTTTAAATTAAGTGTAAAGTAGATTATGATAAAAACAACATAATTATAATTAAGGGTCGGATAAGTTTATAGAAGATGATAACAGTAGGTATAATTTTTTGAATGACATGAATCATCTTTCATAATAAAATATAGATGCATATTGCCCCGGCCGTTTGTCTTGGAGGCAAGTTAAAATAAGCGAAAACAAATGGATTATTTAGTGGGAATGAATTTTGGGACCGCAAGCAAGGGTTGAGACTTTCGCATGGTTATGCCGAGCTTGTCTGTCATGTCCATGGTGGAGGGCGTGACGTTGCAGTCAAGTTCCCAATCGAAACGGTGAAGCAAGGAACCCAAGACGAGGTGGAGCACTCTATGCGCCAAGGGTACACCCGCACACATCCTGCGTCCAGCTCCGAAGGGAATGAACTCAAAGTGATGGCCCTTGTAGTCAACGTTGTTCTTGCAATCAGAAAAGCGTTGGGGGTTGAAGGCAAGTGGCTCATCCCAGGCGCTGGGGTCTCTCCCAATGGCCCACGCGTTCACCAAAACCTGCGTGTCTTTGGGTATGTAGTATCCCATGAACTCTGTGTCCTCCGTGGCTTTCCGAGGAACAAGCAACGGAATCGGAGGATGTAACCGAAGTGTTTCCTTAACCACGCCTTGTAGGTACGGAAGCTTCTCTATGTCGCTTTCCTCAACTTCTCGCTCGCGCCCAACCACCCTATTAAGCTCGCTTTTCACCTTTCTTAGACACTCCCGGTTGCATAGAAGCTCCGTCAAAGCCCACTCAATGCTGCTGCTCGTGGTTTCGGATCCAGCCAGGAATATTTCCTGTCATAGAAGAACAAGTTTAAGCAAAAATATAAACTTTATTTGGTGGGACTTGGGAGGGAATTATGTGTTGGTATATATAGTTGGTATACCAATATGAAAATGTTGAGATCTTTATCTGAGACGTTGAGTGCTTGCTCAGTGTTGTTGGTTTGAAAGTCAAGAAGGACATCCAAGAAGTCCCTTGACTCGTTGCCACCACGGTGCTGTTCCAAACGCTGTTTCACGAACCTCGAAGCGATTGCAATGGCCTTTCCCATGTCCCTGTCCATCTTCCCCCTCAACCCCTGGGGGTCCAGCCACCCAAGCCACGGGAACAGGTCGGTGACGTTAGCGTGCCCCGTCCACTCCATCAACCCCATCATGGCCGTGAAAAACTCCGAACCCTCCTCCGACTCGGGGTCGAAAAGGTCACGCGACAGCATCAGGTTCCCGAAGAGGTTGAACGTCATCAGGAACACGAATCGCGCCACGTGGACCCCGCGACCGGGTTCCGACTTCCGCGCTTCCGCCGCCACCCACGTGATCATGTCGCCGACGCACTTGCGACGCACGCCGGCGGTGTCGTTGATGCGCTTGGCGACGAGCATGTCGGCGTTGACGAGGCGGCGCATGAGGCGCCAGTACGGGCCGTAGGGGGCGAGGGCGAGGGAGGAGTTGTGGTAGTTGTGGACGCGCATGATTTCGGTTATGGTGCGGTCGGCGAAGGCGTGGTCGTGGCGCTTGAAGAACACGGCGGCGGCCTCCGCCGAGAGAATGGCCATGGTCTTTATGGCGCCCATTTGGAGCCAGACCACCGGGCCGTGGTTCTCCCTCAGGGCAGCCATGGTGCGGTGGGGCATCTCCCCCAGCTGGAACATGTTGCCGAAGATGGGCCACCCCCTTGGCCCCGGCGGAAGACGGGTTTTGCGACGGCGGAGGAAGAGAAGCATGGATAGAGAGAGCAGTAGCAGTAGCAGAAAGAGTGGATGATATTGTGAAGTCAACGCCATGGTCTGTGAGATCCAATTAGTTGTTTGAAACATTGCTCTATTTGTCATCACTTGCTCGGTGCATACTATATAGACGCTGAATAAAGATTCCGTCACCACTCTTTGCTGTCGACATGCAAAGGGATAAATAATTCACACTATCCGTGATGTAATGTAAGACAAATATGGAAATGTGGACCAGATATACACACACAAACATCACTACTGCCTTGGTTGGTACATAATAGAAGAGATGGATAAAAAATTAATTTATCGCCACCGTAAAATTTTTTTATACCGACAATTAATTATATTTTTTAATTGTGTCATGTCACTGTTAAAAATAAATATGTTTATAATAACATGACACGATTAAAAGATATAATTAATTATTCGCGTAAAAAAAACTTTATCTTAATAATACATAAGTGATTAACTATAAAATAAAAAAAAATTGGGTGAAAAGAGCGAAAATAAGAGAGTAGAATTAAGAAGGATTATTTGGTAAAAATATTATAGATGAAAAATTAAAAAGTGATGAATCCTACTTTTTTTTTATTTATTTATTTATTTTATATTATATATCTTATTTTTCTTCAATTAAATAATCAAATTTTAATTTTATATTTTTATCTAATTCTCTTTTTTTTTTACTATATTTTTCACCTTTTATTTTTCTTTCTATTAAACAACTACGCCTCCTTGCATACTGTAATCACTAGGGCCTTTTGGCCATAATAAATAATTAAAAAAAATAAAAAAATTATTAAAATAAATTAAATAAAAAACTATTTACAAAAGTAAATTATTTTGGTCACGTAAGATAGTAAAGATGAAAAAAATGTCATCCTATATAACATTTTATACATGAAGAGGGAAAAAATGAAAAACGTCATTCTATTTAACGTTTATTACATGACATTATACATCATAAAAACGTCATATCATTTGACATTTTCTTCTCAAATTTTTCTCCTGCCATGGTTAAAGCTACAACACTTGCAAAGTGAAGAAATCATCAAGATACCTGACATTTTGTGCATACATGTTGAAAAAAATTTGAGAAAAAAACATCAAATGACATTAAATTTTTATGATGTATAATGTCATGAAGAAAACGTTAAATGAAATAACAATTTTTGATTTCTCTCTCTTCAAGTATAAAATGTTATATAGGGTAACTTTTTTTCATCTTCACTATCCTATGTGATTTATTTTAATAAATATTTTTTATTTAATTTATTTTAATATTTATTTATTTATATTTATTATGGCCAAAAGGCCAAACACTAGACACTGATAAGTGCATTATGTACCTTCTAACTATTTTCGACTTTTTTTTTAATTTCATTTTTTAAATTAATTACAATGATGAAGATAGAATCTGCGATTTCATGCGTTATACTAAGAGTCGGTGTATTATAATAAAATTTATTATTATCGATAATTATTTAACGATAATAAATTAAATATTTCTATTTTATTATCTTATAAAAATATTATTAACTAATATATAGTAGTTACTAAAAATATATTTACATCACACTAAAATTTATTATTAAGTGATAATTATTTATTGAAAAAAAAAATTAAGTCTCAAATCAACTATAATTAAAATAATTAAAAAATGTGTAAGTAGAAAATAACTTTTACCTTATAAATCTCACATCTCTTAAAAGATAAGACAATTAAAAAAAATATAAAAAAAATTCAAGTCTCACTTCGACTATTGATAAAATAATTAAAGAGTATATAAAAAAAATAATTCTCACCTTACAAGTCTTACATCTCTTTCGAGATAAAATAAAATAATTAAAAAATAAGAAAAAATACAAATAAAAAAATAAAAAAAGTTAAATAGGGCAACTCTCATTTTATTGTCACCAAAAATCATATTAAATACTATTAAGAGGCTATTTTATTATAATGGTGAGATTTAAGCAATACGCTTAATATAATAAGCTTCAAATATGTTATTTTATTTAAAAAATAATGTTATGTTAAATTCAAGAATTTTAGTAATCCTTTAATAGTGTAATTTTAGAGAATTTAAAATAAATTTAAATCATGAAAATTTATCTAATAGTTCAAAATTAAAATAAATGCATGAAGATTTAAGTTATTTTTTTATTACAATAATGATTAAATCATTAAAAAATAAGTTTGTGATTGTTTCATCAATCTTAAGACATTTCATTTCCTTTGCGAATTGTTTGAATAATAAAATAAGTTTAGAAAGTAGATGAGCATCTATACGAATATGCTCTAATGAACTTTTTTATACCAGAAGCTAAACCCTTAATATTTTAAAAATACAGAACTGAATATAAAATGACATGCAACTATTTAAATCCCTTGAAATTTGCATAATAAATTCAAATAAGGACAAAATTCAACCTGTCATCTAATCCACTATTTTTGTTTTGTGCAAACTTTAAATAATTATTTTAGTGAGGAAGTGTTCTGAATTCTGCAAACAACAACGCCTAAAACTAGGAGGCTCAATTTCGCCCTGAAAGTTGAATCCAGCGGAATTGGTCGATGCTTGAGACATGAAAAAGAAAATCTTTGCCGTAGCTTTTCAAACATACCAGGATCACTAAAAAAGGATTTATGTTGCTCCAAATATTATCTTCTTCTTTTTTAAGGGAACTCCAAATATTCTCTATGAAATACAACAAGGTCTCCAGCAAAAAAACAATAATAATAATAAATAATGATGATTAATTAAGCCCAATAAGATCCAATAATATAAAACTCAGCCAAAAGATTAATACTGAGCTCATATAGAAAAAAAAAAATTAATGGTCATTTGTCACAGTTTTAATCTGCTGAAACTGAAAGTTTCAAATTTAGCAATTGTCATTTGTCACAGCTACATACCTGGAAGCCAGATGTCAATTGTGCTATTGGAAACTGAACTCGGGTTAACGTGAATCATATAATGGATCCAAATATGATGTTAACTCATTCTTCCTCAATAGTTCATGCACTAAATCTAGAGGCCACCACCTGTGAGAGAATTAAAAAGTTTGAATTTGATTGATGTAACTTCATTGGAACTAGACAACCTAGTAACCGACTCCACTTAAAATAGTAAATGATGCTTGCGTATCAGCTGATAATGACCAACCCTTTCTTTTTTCTGCAAAATTGGAAAACCAAATAATAATTAATGGTCAGTTTTTTCAAATTAAAAAAAAAAAACAAATAAAAATTGCTTCTTTGGGGGTGGGGGAATTAAACAAACTAGTCAAATATCTTTGCTCAAACATATTTGCATATTTGCTTTTATTCTAATTCATAACACAAAAGTTTCCTTGAATTATTGATTATATTGTTTTGGGACTATTTGAAGTGAAAAATCAATCTCTACCAATTTTGTTATCAATGGAGGGGGGAAAATTGCGATCAAAGTAAAGCTTCTGAAAGAGCAGGTTTGGATGGCTTCTTCCATTCAAAGGGGAGAAGAAAACTAGTTCCCCCTTTTGTGCCTCTGCCTGAGTTTGCAACTATGCTGTACATAGTTTCATCACGGGCTCTATTGAGCCTACCTAACTTAACAATATTGGGTTACACTATACACAAGTGCCCTAGATTATAATAATAACTAGTGAGTTCACAAGTTTGAGCCCAATAATAATAATGGCTCGTCTATTAAAAGCCCATTTAAGACACAATTTAGTTCTGCCTCATATGAATCATAATCATGGACCTAAAAATTCATAATGGTCAATTTGGTTATGAATGTGCCGGCATCTCCAGTTTTTTGAGATTAAGAAAATTCGGTTGTGGGGAAACTTTAACTAGAGTATTCAGGGGATGATTGTCATTCATAAATTGTCCCAAAAGCTTAATCTGTCGAATGAAGTCTTGCAAATATTTTTTTATATCTATCAATAGCCACTCCAAAATGAAGATGGCGCGTCTTCTTTTAGAAAATTCTACTTGAAAAGTGAAAAACAGAGCCCAAATTGAAACTGAAACGAGCCTCAATTATTAATGACAGAAAATAAAATGTTATCATGTTTTAGATAAGCAGGGCCTTGTAGTGTCTTCAATCACCTCTTACAATGCTCTAATTTCATTTTTAGTATTGCAATATACCCAAAAGGTTTAGAACTTTGCCCAATTGGTACTTTTAAATGCATTTGGATACAGAGATATTGGACATTGGGTACCATATTAATGAAGAAAAAAAAAATGTCATCATATTTTGGACATGCGTGATCTTGGAATCCTTTTTATCATCTCATGCAATGCCTTTATTTTTCACTGTCATGATGTAGTTGTGCGATATAACCTGAAGCTTTATAGCATTACCCAATTGTTTTTATTAATAATTAAGTACTCGTATACAGGGCTATTAAACAATTTGGGATGCCATAGAAACCTTATATAACAATAACATATCAAAATTTACAACAATTTTTTACATATCATTTAAACACGTAAAAATTGGTCTCAATCTTGTACTATATTTGTATGTAAAAAAAAAAATATTGTAAACAGAAAATGATGTAAGAATCATATCTCCATCTAATGTGATGAAACTTGGTTGAGCTTAAAAAGCTTTATAAGGTAGCAAGCCTTTAGAAATCACAGAGTAAGAAATTGATATCATATTAGAAAATTAAAGGTGAAAACTTGACTATTCATTACTCAGATTGTATGTACATAAAGATGAATATGTGTAATTATGAGAGATTTGTAAAATTAACTAAATATTGTATCATTTGTTAAAGTTACGTGTCTATTTATAAAAAGTCATGAAATATAATTCTTCGAGTTATGACTTATGATTCTTCTTTAATAATTATGAAATTAAACTATTTATCAAAAGTTAATATATGTGACATTTCATTAAAGATCATGACATATGTCTTTTAAAAAGATTATTTTTTTTTTCACAAAATGACAGAAGAAAAATTATAAATATATCTAATTTGCATGAAAAAAAATCAACATAATTTTTATATTCAAATAAATTTTTTTCTTTTCTTGTGCATTAAAAGAGAACATTAAGAAAAATGTTATTATGCAAATTAGCAAATTGATCTACGTGAGTGTACAAACCATGTCAAGTAATGTTTATATGCTAAAGGAGATATGTTGGGACACTTAATTACATCCAATTCTATAAAGATAGACAAAAATCAAACCTAAAAATTAATTTTATATACAACCTAGA